TTTTCTCACTTGTCCGCTTTCTGAGAATTCCGGTCTTTGGTGAGTCTTCCGATTCTTAGCTGACAAATCCGGATGAGTCTTACTTCCGGGTGAGAAGGAGATCCGCGCTAGTCTTCCGATTTGAATGACTTAGCCTTCAGCGGGTTGTAGCGAGACATCCGGTTCTTATGTAGTCTTTCCGGATCTGAGGATTTTTATCTGATTGAGAAATCCTTACTTGTTTCTGACACTTCCGATCAAGATATCCAATTTTCATATCACTGAATTTGATCAAGTCTTCAGGCATCAAAACGCTTAAAGAAATACCACAGTTTTATTGGAAAACTCAAGAACTTGGTTTTAACAATATTTCTAAAAAGAAAAATTACATTGAATATTGGGGGAGACCTAAAGTCCCTATTACATAAATCATCATCAAAATCTATAATATTTTTCCCAACAATATCCGTCTTCCATTGCTTAGAGCTCATCAATAATTCATTGCCAAAAACAATTGTTAGCCAAAAACTAGTTAAGTTCCCCCTGAATTACATTCCCCTTGAATGTATGCGCTAGGAATAAATCTCAAAATCATACTTGAAATAGGCAAAATCAAGCATAGTAAGCACAATTAAGAGAAATATTAAAGCAATGTTTAAACCAATCAAGCAATGTTTAAACAAGAAGGTGTTTTCATCAAAGCAAATTAATGTTTTCACATACTTTCCCCCTGGTTTGATGAAGAAAACCTTCAGTGCTTCTTGCGCTTTGAAGATCCGGCAATCTCCCTGATGCCTTGCATGTTTCCACATAGTTCTTTGATGCGCCTTATGTTGTTGTGTCTCTCCTCTGTTTGGTTATCATTTGAGAAGTGAGCAGCAATTGTTCCTACAGCCTCTGTTCCATCCAATCCTGAGCTGGATAGGTGCTGTGTTGAGTTTTCCGGATTACTTCTTTGAGTGTCAAGGATTAGATCAGTCAAGTTCAGATGCGTAGGAATGTAAGAGACTTCTCCTTCTTTGACTGCAATAGGGAGCTCTTGAATCAAAGATGGACTGTGTTGTTGAAGAACCACTTCCATCTTGCGATTTCCAGAATTTGTGGTAAGAAGTCTGAATAGTTTGTGTGCTTCCTTCTGATTGTCAATGATTACCTTCAAGTAGTCTTTGGTTACTACTTGATTTGCTGAAGACACTGCCAGAGCTGCTCTGATGTCCATTTGGAGAAGGGACATTTGTTTTTGTAGACTAACTGTGACATTTGCTATTTGCTCTCTGATTTTGTTAACCTCCTTGAGTTGAAGATAACTGTCAGATGCATATGTCTCCATCGTGTTGCTCACAGTGTTACTCAATAGAGAAATGATCTCTAGAGTCTTATCCACTGATTTGCTTACCTCCTTGAGATTGGAGCAGTGTGTCTCTTCGGATTTCTCAATCAGTTTGTTGTACCTGGCTTCCATCTGCTCTATCTCTTGCCTAAAGGAGGCATGTTGAGATGCTAGGGCTGATTCAATCAACCCTTGGACCTTCTTTGTCTAGGTTTCCGGTACCTCATCCGGAAGACTAGAAATAGAAGAGCTATGGAAATGGAAGTTGGTTACCTGATGAGAAGAGGGTGTTCTTTGGAAAAGTTGCATAGGAAGAGATTCAGCATCTTCTTGCATATCTTCTTCATCATTGATCCTCAGAGTTCTTTCAAATTCTTCTTCTGCTTCCCCAAGTATAAAATTTGATATATCCCTAGAGAGGGAGTCTCTTTCTTCAGCTTCATTCTGTTCTTGAAAAATGGCTACTGGAGATTTGGAGGCCTCCAGTTCTGCCATTTGAGTTTCCTTCTCAGCTTCTGCAGAACTCCTCTCGGCTTCTACAGCTTGCTCTTCTTGAACTTCATTTGCTTCTAGAGGTTTGGACATCTCCAGATTTTCTGCTGACTTCTCCGGAATCTCAGTTTCAGTGGGATTGGTGATCTCACAAGGAGTTGTGAGAATCTCTGAAGCTTGAGAATGGAGAAGTTGCTGGAGTTCTTCTTCTGATGCTTCTTGGTTCTGTGCTTGTGGAGTAGAGGCTGCATTCTCCTGGTCAGCTTCAGTTAGAACCGTTTCAATGGCAGGGGAGGTTTCCAGGAAAATTTGGAAATCCTCAGCTGTGGCTTCATATCTGCTTGTGCTTTAGTGGTAGGAGCCACCTGATCTTTTGTAGCCTTTGAGAAGATTGGCCTGTAGACTGCAGGATCCTCATCGTCAGCCTCAAATTCTGAAACTGGTGAGGTGACCAAGTGTTCCAGATGCAAATCTTCATAGTTCCTTTGCCATACCCAGTCAACATCCAGGATTTGCTCACAGCAATAGTTGACTGGCAGACCTAAGCATTCCTTGATGATCTTCTCATTCTTCAGTTGCTGGTCCCAACTCAACAACTGATCTGCTGAATTTCCAACTTTCCAAGCTCTCTAGTCATAGTAGAGCTGCCAGAATTGATTCTCAGCGTCATCAATTTGAGGTTGTGAGGAAGTTGGAGAATTCTGAACTTGAGGAATTTCTTCATCAGGTTGTTGAGGGCTCTAGTTGTGGGCAGAGTTTTCCTCAACTGGTTCCTTCTCCTTCAACTCATCCGGGTTAACATTTCCAGATGTTGAGGAAGAGGTGATTTTCCTCTTATTTTTCCTTTGTAGTTCTCCTTGGGCAGAGATTTCTTCTTCTTCTTCAAGATTGATCAGAGAAAGATTCTCTGGTGCTTCAGCATTGGGAGAGGGAGACACCACTTGCTTCCTCTTTACTCACTTGTTCAGACTCATGATAAGGACATTGTCTGAAGAACTTTCCTCTGCAGTTGTGCTAGCACCAGCTCTGTTTTCCCCTTTGGAAGACAGGTAGTATAGCTAGTATCTGGCTTCATACTTCTTTCCTTCAGAAGCAGCACCCAAGGACTCCAAGATATGTCCAATGCACAGACCTTGACAAAGGTATTTCTGGTTGGGTTTTCCCAGATGCTTTGAGATGGAATTGAAGAAATGTGCAGCCCAATTTACCTTAGACTTGGTAATGAGGGCATTGATGATGAAGGCCCTCTCTTGGGTGATGTCATCAGCATGTCCTCCACTACCACACTCGAGGCATGCGATGACCAGTTCAAGGACTAGCTTGTAGTCGTTGTTCAGATCAGCTTTCTTCGCTGGGCCAGAGGGAGCTTGCCCAGAAATTCCAATAATATTCCAATCCAGATTTTTGGCTGGAAGTCTCCCAATTTCAACTCCAGAATTGGGAAGGTGAAGCTTTTCTCCCAATTTCTTCTGCGAAAGCTTCACTTTGGTCCCTCCAACAGTGGAATTGATGACTTGAATCGTCTTCTGTGGGTCCTTCTTCGATTTGATAGTCTTGACCTTTCCATTCTTGTAGAATTCAAGAACTTCGTTCTCATACTTGAATCGAATCTCCATATGAAGGAATTCGGAGAGCTCTTGAGCAGCAATCATCTCCAGATAGGATTGATAGAACGTTGGTGAGGAGCACTTGGCTTCCAACTTCTGGAAATGGATATTAGTGCCAACAATCTTCATTTTCTCAGAAATTTGAGTGAGAAGATCTGAAGAAATTAGGGTTCTTGAGAATTTTATCAAAAGGTTCTCGCGAAGAAGACGATGAAAAATTTGAGTGGGCTGAGTTGGCAGTTGAGATCTGATTATAGTGGCGATTGGGTTTAATTTGGGCGATTTATGCGGCTAGTGGCGATTGGGTTTTTAACTGTTCCCAAGGCCACGTGCCCACCCACCATTTTGACAGACGTGGAAAGTGAACTGCCACGTGTACCGCACTCAGTCTAATTGAATTAGACTAATTTTGTGAAGCAAATCGAAAAACTTGGCTTCACTTAGTGGTTTTGTGAAGATATCTGCTAGTTGTTCTTCAGTTGAGATATACTCAATTTTGATATCTTTCTTTTCCACATGATCTCTGATGAAGTGATGCTTGACATCAATGTGCTTAGTGCGAGAATGATGCACTGGATTTTGTGAGATGGCTATAGCACTTTGATTGTCACAAAAGATTATCACTTCCTTTGTCTTGACTCCATAGTCCAGTAGTTGTTGCTTCAGCCACAGAATTTGAGCACAACAACTACCAGCAGCAATGTACTCTGCTTCTGCTGTTGATGTAAAAATGGAGTTTTGTTTCTTACTGAACCGAGAAACAAGATTTCCACCAATGAATTGACAAGTACCAGATGTACTTTTCCGGTCAACTTTGCATCCGGCAAAGTCAGAATCTGAGTATCCCACTAACTCAAATGAATTGCTCTTAGCATACCACAAACCCATTTCTGAGTTCCTTTGAGGTATCTAAGAATTCTTTTAGCTGCTATCAGATGACATTCCTTTGGCTTTGACTGGAATCTGGCACAAACACCTACTGCATATGAGATATCCGGACGGCTTGCAGTAAGGTAGAGTAGAGATCCAACAATTCCTCTGTAGAGAGTTTGATCTACATCCTTTCCATATACATCCATATCAAGCTTGGTGGATGTACTCATGGGGACAGAAACGGATGACTTCTGGTCAACTTTGAATTTCTTGATAAGATCCCTTGTGTACTTGGCTTGGTTGATGAGAGTCCCTTCACTTCTCTGTTTGATTTGAAGGCCAAGGAAGTAGTTGAGTTCCCCCATCATGCTCATCTCAAATTTTCCTTGCATGAGGGTTGAGAACTTGGTGCAGAGATCTTC